CACTGATGGGCACTGATATGTGGCATTGATGTGGCACTGATGGGCACTGGCACGAGGCACTGATGAGCACTGACACAAGGCACTGATGGACACTGACAGGTGGCACTGCTGGGGCTACACTGATCATCAGGGCACACTGATCATCAGTGCCCTGATGATCAGTGTACATGTCCCCTCCGCAGAATGCCGATTACCGGCTCTCCTCTTCTCACGAGCTGTCGGCGTGACTGCTCGAGAGGAGAGAAATACAGATAACCGGCATTTCCCTGTTTAAATGTGATCAGCTGTGATTGGACACAGCTGATCGCATGACCCAGCCGACATCTTCGACTCTTTCCGTGATCGGTGATCCGCTGTGTCCGAGGGACACAGCGTACCGCTGATCGCCGCGCTGCGCGCTCTCTAGCTCTCTGAGTGCTTTGGGGGAGCCACCCTGCCTGAAAGCACCCCCCCATGTTGAGGGCATGTGGCCTGGTATGGTTCAGGAGGGGGGAGCGCTCGCTTGTCCCCCCCCCCTTTCCTGACCTGCCAGGCTGCATGATCGGATAAGAGTCTGGTATGGATTTTGGGGGGAACCCCATGCCGTTTTTTTTACATGTTGGTGTGGAGTTACCCCTTAATATCCATACCAGACCCGAAGGGCTTGGTGTGGATGGGAGGGGGGACCCCACGCCGTTTTTTATTTATTATGGCGCTGGTTTTTAAATGTAATTCTCCCTTTTTTTTTTTTTTTCTTCACAATAGCTCAGAAATTCAGCTGTCACTTCCCCCAGCTAAAAGAGAAAGTTTTCTTTGAATTTATATTCCTAAAGGAAACTATGTTTACTTTGAGTTTATTAAAAGATAGAAAGTTTTCTGTAACTTCGGGGAAAGTGACATCTAAACTTGTGAACTATAGTGAAGAAAAAAAAAAGGCTGGCATTTGCATTTAAAAATCAGCGCCGACATACACGTGGTATTGCGAAAAAATTAACAATTGTGTAAACAGAGGCATTATTTTCAATGAATTTTCATTCATAAACTGAAAATTATATTAACCGAGGCTTTGGGAAACAGAGGTATGCCTGTATTAGTATTGCAATCCTTTGTATTGGGATACATAGAACCAACATACATCTGAATTGGCAACATAGCACAACATTTGTGGCACATTTAAGATATCTGGCTAGTTACACTGACCTTGCCCAGGGATTTAGGATTCGCACCACAGAAATACAGGCGGGATTAGTGTTCAACAGCTCCGTGGATTAGTGGTTAGCAGTGCTGCCTCACAACGCTAGGGTTGCCGGTGTGAATCCCAACCACAGCAATGAATTTGCATGATCTACGTGTGACTACCCTAACATACATGTGCTGGTGGCAGCATCTTTGCTTTCTGTCTAAATGATCCCTAGAATGTGAATTAGAATGAGGCCTTGTCTGTTCAAACACCTTTAAAGTAGCACCTTATGTGAATGTCAAACGATGGGATGAGATAAGGGCCTGAACTAATGATTGATTTGATAATGCTGGTTTGCACTCCACCCCCTTTTGGGAAGGTTTGTCAAACCAAGAGAAGAGAGAGAGAGAGAGAAAAGGATTTAAAAAAAATTAATAAAATAATGGCATGGAGCCCCCCCAATCCATAACAGACCCTTATCCGAGCATGCAGATACCTCATGCCTTCAAAGATTTATTTCCTTTGTTGAATTGCCTGCTTGGTTCACACTCGATGCAATTTAAAATTGTGCTTTTTGTTGGCAATTTCACCGTGTTTTCTGTAGATTCACCAATGAGTTATTGCGTTTCAATTGCGTTTTGCATTGCAATTTCTATTGTAGTCTATATGTGAAATCGCTACAAAATGCAGAAAAAGTTAGACAAGAACTACTTTTGAAATTGTGCTGCAGCAAATCGCTTACGTTAAGACACTAAGACACTCACATCCACATCATTAGATCCGATATCAGGTTAAATTTCAATTCCCAAATCGCACCTGAAATTGTGCACCCTGGATGCGACTTGGCATGCAATTTACATGCCCTGCGACTTGCAAATCGCATGCCAAATTGTACCCGATGTGACTGGGGGCTAACATCACAGTCACATCTAACCTGATTTGGAAATTGGGCAACACAGTGAAGTCACACAATTTCAAAATCAGATTGGATGTGAATGGAGCCTATAGTGGACAATAGGGTGCGACGTGGCCTACGATTTGCAAGTCGCCTAGCATGCAAATCGCATGACAAATTGCACCCGATGTGCCACCCCCCGCTCACATCAAAGCGGATTTTGAAGTGGTGCAACTTGCACTACGGTCACATCATGTGACTTACAGTGAAGTCACATGATTTCAAAGTCGGGGGACATGCTGATTTAAGTGCGATTTGCAACATATCTGACACAGATCTCTCTGCAAATCGCATGAAAAGTAGTGTATTCATTACTTTAGAAATTGTTGCGGCTCCAACCAAGTTTGAACCACACCAATATGAACGCTCTAATAGCGGTCACATTGAATGCGACTTGGCATGTGATTTGCATGACATGCAACTTGCAAATCGTATGCCAAGTCGCACCCTATTGTCCGCTATGAGAGCAGTCACATGGGTACGTTTCCGACACTGATTTCTAAAGTAGTACATGTACTACTTTTGTGGCGTTTTGCATAGATATCTGTGTCAGATGTCTTGCAAATCGCAAGGAAATCTGCATCTTCACTGTATGTCGCACAATTTCTAAATCGGCTTTGATGTGACCAGGGTGTAAGGCCTTTTTATGTTTGATTTCCTGAGTGTTTTTTCCGATATATGGGAAATGCCGCATACTAGCAAAAGTGAATTGACATTTTCAGTATTGCATGCGAGATGTGGTCATGTGACTGTCTTAACTCATGCGATAATCTGGAGTGAATTGTGCTCATAGTGCCAAGAAATATTGCCAATAGGGTTCCCTTTCACATCCCTGTTCAATGTTCTGTTGCATGCTACACTTAACTGTGGCTTTCTTTCTGACTCTGATTTGTGGGGCCTGTATACCAAGGGTTAATGCAGGTGGTCAGAGAATTAATCAGGTGCAAACACTTTCTCTGACCAATGAATGACAGTGGTGGGTGTGGAATACCTTATATAAAGAGTTGCAGTAGTGGGTGATTTTCCTTGTACAGGCCATGTTATTTTCTGCAAGTCCTTGTCTGTGGTGGTTTGGAGAGGAAGAGATATTTGTGGTGAATTGCCCCAGGCCACACTCACACTGTGTTTTGATGTGGGCTGTAAATGTTTTGCATTTTTTTCCTTCGAAGGTGTGTTTGTGTATTACTGTTCAATGATTGTGTGTTTATTAGCTTTGCATTGTAATCATAACACATGTCAATTGCTCTGCTCTTCCAAGTTTGCTTTATTTAGACTGAAATGCAGTTTTCAGACAAACCTGATGAGAAATGTATGTGTGGGGGATTTGGGGTGTTTTATTTTGGCATATATTTTTATATTGATATTTTGATCTGCAGCCTGTTTTGTGGATAGATAAGTCTATGTGATTCTTATTAACTGTTTGTTTCCTACTGTGACCTGTGAAAGCACAGTTCATGAGAAGTATAATCTTTTAGATTGTAAGCTCTTATGAGCAGGACCGTTCTATTTTAGCAAGCAACATCAATGGTGCTTTTTTTTTTTCTTTTTTTCACCAAGAAACTGAATGTACCTACTTGTTGATGTCCAAATAAATGTGGAATGTGTATTTTATCAATAAACGTTTGGACTATGTATCTTTTGGGTGGATTATTTCATGTTCTAGTTGAATGTACTAGCACCCCTAACACTTATTTTTGCTAGCTATATAATATGCCGAAATCTTCCTTGTTAGAGTGCACATATGCAAGTATGTCCAAACTAACAAACCAAAAGCCCCCTATTGCACCACAAGACTATGTTATATACCAATGAATAGGTTGTGTTTAATGTGCAGCTAGCTATTTTTCTACAATCCTCTTAACAGTAATAAATTAGGCCCCCAATTTATGTTGCCTTTCGGCCAATGTCATATACATAGTAGAGCTGCAAACATATATTTGTGAATGTCATATACACAATGAAAAGAAGCCCCGCAAAGTCCCACTGTTGGAAAAAAAAAGACGTGCTGAAGAGGTTACAATTTGCCAAAGAGCACATTGACTGGCCTAAAGAGAAATGGCTCAACATTTTGTGGACTGATGAAAGTAAGATTGTTCTTGTTAGGGATCCGGGTATGACCAGAAATGTGTGGACTGACACAGGGACACGCAGACTTCAGGTATAGTGTGAATAAGACAATTTATTAAGACTAAACAAAACATAAATGCAGTGCAAGACTAAACAAAAACACAGTGCAAACAAACCAACCCAAACCTCCAACAGATAACAATAGAAACAATACTAAGCGTACTCGGGCAGGCCGGGTCGGTAGCAAACGGGCAGGCAGGGCACAAGGAGCAGGTGGAAGAGTAGTCCGGAATAGCCGAGGTCAGGACAGGCAGAGTTCATGCAGAGTCAGGGATCGAAGCAGAATCTGGATCAGGCAGAAAGCAGACAGGATGCAGGTACAGGGGCCCATGGGAAACATACACCAAGGCCCTGATCACAGGCCTGGCCATTCCTTAAATACACCTGTTGTAATCAGCTTCAGGTGATGGCTCATTGCAGGAGTGAGCCTCTGGTTGCTGAGAGCACCCGCTGGCCAGCCCTGGTACTGCAGCCCACAAGGCAGGTGAATCCCACCACCACTGGCAAGTCCATTCCTGACAGTACCCCCCCCCCCCCTCAAGGAGCGGCCTCAGGACGCTCCAAACAGTCCGTAATGGCCCAAATGTTCCACCGCCTGGGTCCGGCAACTGTCTGGACATCCCACTGCCGGAATCAAGCGATTGGCTGGGTCTCCTTCTGATAGGCCTATCTTTTTGTAGGAGACTGCAGGAAGGCAGATTGCTGGACACAGGATTTCCAGAAGCAGGCTGGGCATCAGGAGCTGGTACGTCAGGTCAGGCTGGGCAGCAGGCAGAGGCACGTCAGGCGGGACTGCAGGCAGAGGCACGTGAGGCTGGGCAGCCGGCAGAGGCGCAGCAGGCAGAGGCACGGCAGGCTGGGCAGCAGGCAGAGGCACGGCAGGCTTGGCAGCAGGCAAGGCAGTGGGCACCGGGCCTTCAGGCGGAGCAGCGGGCACCGGGCCATCAGGCGGAGCAGCAGGCAATGCAGTGGGTACCGGGCCATCAGGTGGAGCAGCGGGCACCGGGATATCAGGCAGAACAGCGGGCACCGAGTCATCTGGCTCGACAGCGGGCACCGAGTCATCTGGCTCGACAGCGGGCACCGAGTCATCTGGCTCGACAGCGGGCACCGAGTCATCTGGCTCGACAGCGGGCACCGAGTCATCTGGCTCGACAGCGGGCACCGAGTCAGTGGGCAGTGGGCCATCTGGCACGGCAGCGGGCACCGAACCATCTGGCAGAACCGCGTGCACTGGGTCACCATGCTCGACAGCGGGCACCGAGTCATCTGGCAGGACAGCGGGTACCGAGTCATCTGGCAGAACCGCGGGCACCGGGTCACCAAGCTTGACAGCGGGCACCAAGCCATCTGGCACGACAGCGGGCACCAAGCCATCTGGCACGACAGCGGGCACCGAGTCATCTGGCACGACAGCGGGCACCGAGTCATCTGGCTCGACAGCGGGCACCGAACCATCTGGCAGAACCGCGTGCACTGGGTCACCATGCTCGACAGCGGGCACCGAGTCATCTGGCAGGACAGCGGGTACCGAGTCATCTGGCAGAACCGCGGGCACCGGGTCACCAAGCTCGACAGCGGGCACCAAGTCACCTGGCTCGACAGCGGGCACCAAGTCACCTGGCTCGACAGCGGGCACCGAGTCACCTGGCTCGACAGCGGGCACCGAGTCACCTGGCTCGACAGCGGGCACCGAGTCATCTGGCTCGACAGCGGGCACCGAGTCATCTGGCACGGCAGCGGGCACCGAACCATCTGGCAGAACCGCGTGCACTGGGTCACCATGCTCGACAGCGGGCACAGAGTCATCTGGCAGGACAGCGACAGCGGTACCGAGTCATCTGGCAGAACCGCGGGCACCGAGTCATCTGGCACGACAGCGGGCACCGAGTCATCTGGCCATCTAGCAGAACCGCGGGCACCGCGGGCACCTGGGCTCACCAGTCAGCTGGCAGGACAGCGGGCACCGAGTCATCTGGCAGGACAGCGGGTACCGAGTCATCTGGCAGAACTGCGGGCACCGGGTCACCAAGCTCGACAGCGGGCACCAAGCTCGACAGCGGGCACCGAGCCATCTGGCATGGCAGCGGGCACCGAGCCATCTGGCATGGCAGCGGGCACCGAGCCATCTGGCACGGCAGCGGGCACCGAGCCATCTGGCACGGCAGCGGGCACCGAGCCATCTGGCACGGCAGCGGGCACCGAGCCATCTGGCACGGCAGCGGGCACCGAGCCATCTGGCACGGCAGCGGGCACCGAGCCATCTGGCTCGACAGCGGGCACCGGGTCATCAGGCATTGGATCGTCTGGCTTGACAGTGGGCATCAGGTCATCTGGCTCAACAGCGGGCACCGAGTCATCTGGCATAATAGGACCATCAGGCTGGGTAGACACATCAAGCTGGGTAGGGTACACTGGGTCATTGGGCATCAGGGTATCAGGCTGAACCACGGAAGACGGGTTCTCAGACGCAGGCTGACTGATTTGGATACTGGCAGGATGGTATTGGTTGGAAAGAATTTTCGCTTTTTCCTGGTTTTAGTTACTGTAGCGCAGGAAGTAAGCGCAGGTTTGTAAGTGGATAGATCAGCTGTAGGCAGAGAAGAGCTGAGAGATGGAACAAAGGAGGGAGCAGTTGCTACAGAGGACTTCTCTACAGGGTTAAATATAGGATAAGTGCAGCAAGTGGGAGCAGGGGACTGATATGTGGTAGTTAGCAGAGTATACTGGGCTGTCACTGGGGGTGCTGTCGGGGATGCAGGAAGAGTGCCCTGAGCAGAGGAATGACGTTGCAAGCTGACTGAGGCTGGGTGCAACAAGTCTGACCATGTCTGCAGTATGGGTTGAACAAAGCTCAGCTTACACAAAGCCTGTCTGGTCAAAGACTGCACTGCGTTTTATACAATCTATTAGCACCTGTTGTGAACATGCAGAATAATGCTCCAAGAAGTAATCCACATCATCCTCCAATAACCACACCAGGGACTCTACCTGGTCGGCACTAAATGGAGGCAAAAATTCATCCTTGCATTCGGGGGTACCAAATGAAGCCAACTCTGCACAAACCTGAATCAATGGTTGCACCTCAGAGAACTCTGTGCCCTGATCTACTAGGCAATGAGCGATCCTTATGCATTCTAGTAGTTGATCCCTGGTATACTCCTTCAGAGTCTGATCAGCATAATCTCTGTCATCAAAGACTAGCAGAGACAAATATATCACCTCATCAAGATGCATCCTTCCCAACAACAATAAGCCAAGATGGCTTCCCTGTGCAGCCACTTCTGGTCAGGAATGGCCTTGGTGTTCTGTTTCCCATGGGCCCCTGTACCTGCATCCTGTCTGCTTTCTGCCTGATCCAGATTCTGCTTCGATCCATGACTGTGCATGAACTCCGCCTGTCCTGACCTCGGCTATTCCTGACTACTCTTCCACCTGCTCCTTGTGCCCTGCCTGCCCGTTTGCTACTGACCCGGCCTGCCCGAGTACGCTTAGTATTGTTTCTATTGTTATCTGTTGGAGGTTTGGGTTGGTTTGTTTGCACTGTGTTTTTGTTTAGTCTTGCACTGCGTTTATGTTTTGTTTAGTCTTAAGAAATTGTCTTATTCACACTATACCTAAAGTCTGCGTTACCCTGTGTCAGTCCACACATTTCTGGTCATACCCGGATCCCTAACAGATAACAATAGAAACAATACTAAGCGTAGACGGGCAGGCCGGGTCGGTAGCAAACGAGCAGGCAGGGCACAAGGAGCAGGCGGAAGAGTAGTCAGGAATAGCCGAGGTCAGGACAGGCGGAGTTCATGCAGATTCCGGGTTCGAAGCAGAGTCTGGATCAGGCCGAAAGCAGACAGGATGCAGGTACAGGGGCCCATGGGAAACATACACCAAGGCCCTGATCACAGGCCTGGCCATTCCTTAAATACACCTGTTGTAATCAGCTTCAGATGATGGCTCATTGCAGGAGTGAGCCTCTGGTTGCTGAGATCACCCGCTGGCCAGACCTGGTACTGCAGCCCACAAGGCAGGTGAATCCCACCACCACTGGCAAGTCCATTCCTGACAGTTCTGTTTGGGTCTAGTGGCCGGAGACAGTTTGTCAGACGACCCACAAACACTGAATTCAAGCCACAGAATACTGTGAAGACAGTGAAGCATGGTTGCGCAAACATCATGATATGGGGATGTTTCTCATACTACGGTGTTGGGCCTATTTATCGCATACCAGGGATCATGGATCAGTTTGAATACATCAGAATAATTGGAAGAGGTCGTGCTGCCTTATGCTGAAAAGGAAATGCCCTTGAAATGGGTGTTCCAACAAGACAACAACCCCAAACACACCATTAAACGTGCAACATCTTGGTTCCAGACCAACAAGATTGACGTTATGGAATGGCCAGCCCAATCCCCGGATCTTAATCCAATAGAAAACTTGGGGGGGGTGACATCAAAAATGCAGTTTCTGAGGCAAAACCAAGAAATAGAGATGAACTGTGGAATGTAGTCCAATCATCCTGGGCTGGAATACCTGTTCACAGGTGCCAGAAGTTGGTTGACTCCATGCAACACAGATGTACAGCAGTTCTCATAAACAGTGGTTATACAACTAAATATTAATTGATTCAATGGAAAGCAAAATCTTCAAACATTTTTCCGTTTATATAGTGAATGTTTGAGTTTGTAAAGAATACAAACACTGCTATTTTTTTGAACAGTCTAATATTCATTTTTCTTCATTTTTTTTTTTGAGGAACAACACAAATTTGATATATTTTTCTTCATGTTTTGATTTGGAATAGAATGTGTATTGTTCCCAATGCATTTGTGTGTATGGAAATAAAAGCTATTAGAAGGATTTTGAGATTTATTCACTTTTTTCAACACACTGCTATTATTTTGAACACAACTGTGTATGTGTGTATATGTATATATGTATATATATATATATATATATATATATATATAACTTGAGAAAGTGCTGCACTCTTCAATTGTATGATTATGCTACCAGGGATTGTTACCTATACCCTTTTAGTGCTAGCGGCTATCTGCCATAATTACTACTCTTTAAATATCCTATGTGTATGCACTCGCCTATACTTTCTTGAGAGGTTGAAAAACACTTATCTAGAGCACACTAGTATATCACTTCCCACTCCGTGAGACTAATTTTTTGCTAGTGTCCTTAGGTGAAGGGCTTTCTTCTGAGCCCAGAAACACGTTACATCCTCTGTCCCCTGACCCTGTTCTGGAATCAGAAGCAGGGGACAGAGGATGTCCTGGATAGGGAGGTTGGGAGCACTAATCTTTGCCTAACAACATTTGACTTTCCACAGCCAAACAAGCCCCTTGGGGCACTAAGACAGGCTAAGTCAATTTAAAAAAAAAGACTTTACACTGTTTGTGCACTTTGAGGACTGCCCAGCCCTAAAAAGGGTTTTCATTCCTCAGTTTTATACTGAGATGTGGAAAATGATTTTAAGAAGAAATGGGCTTATCTGGATCCTGCCTTTTCTGTTCTCAATAAACACCTTACAGTTCCTAATGAGGATGTTCCATTTTTTAAGGATTCCATTGATAGGTGTTTTTAAGGCCTCTTAAAGGCCTTATATGTTTTTGCAGGTCCAGCTCTACAGGCAGCAATGCCTGCCAAGACTGTCACACATTTGTTAACTGGACAAGACAAATGAACAGAGATAGGACAGTTTCTGGTCTCTGTTCATGCTGTAAGGCTTATTATTTTGTGTTGACACTTGAGATTGTAATTTGGGAAGTATCTAGAATTTCCATTGTCTATCTGCATGTTAGTTAGATGTCACTAAATGGGACATCTACCCAATATTGTGTACCCAAATTATAGATGGAATCAACAATATCTGTTATTGCTTCCCTTAACCACTAGCCTACAGGGCACTTATACCCTCTTCCTGCCCAGGCCAATTTCCAGCTTTCAGCGCTGTCACACTTTGAATGACAATTGCGCGGCCATGCAACACTGTACCCATATTAAATTTTTATCATTTTTTTGAGACAGAGCTTTCTTTTGGTGGTATGTAATCACCTCTGGGGTTTTTATTTTTCTTAAACAAACCAAAAACCACTGAAAATGTTGAAAGAAAAAAGTTTTTTCTTTGTTTTTGTTTTACAATTTTGTAAATAAGTGATTTTTCTCCTTCACTGATGTGCGCTAATGAGGCTGCAGTGATGGGCACTGATAGGTTGCACTGATGGACACTGATAGGTGGCACTGATGGGCACTGATGAGGAGGCACTGGTAGGTTGCACTGATGGGCATTGACAGGCATCACTGATGGGCACTGAAATGCAGCACTGACAGGCGGCACTGTTAGGTGGCACTGATAGGCGGCACTGACTGGCACTGATAGGCGGCACTGATTGGCATTGATAGGTGGCACTGACTGGCACTGATGGGTGACATTGAAAGGTAGCTCAGATGGGCACTGATATGTGGCATTGATGTGCACTGGTCTGCACTGATATGTGGCACTGATGAGCACTGACTGCTGGCACTGATGGACACTGACAGGTGGCACTTCTGGGGCCACACTGATCATCAGGGCACACTGATCATCCGGGGGGACACAGCGCACCAGCGATAGCCGCGCTGCACGCTCCCTGAGAATGGAAAGACGTCATATGACGTCCTATCAGAACGAGAGAACCACCTTGCGCCCGTCATTGTACTATATGGTGGGCGGAAGGTGGTTAAACAAGGGGAATTTCTGGCATCAGTTGACATACACATTTAAATTTTTCCAGTGCATCAACACTTTTTCCATTTTGTTGTGGGAGACCAACACTTTCAATTTACTAGAAAAAGCAGTTCTACAGACATGTGCAATTCATTTTGGTCCAAATCTAAATTCAGACAAATTTTTGGTTATTCAGAGATTTGTATGCATCCAAATTTCCGAATAACAGTAGTAGTGAATTTCATTAAATTTGTTTTGTTTATTCGTTTTCTAACGAATTT